AGATCCAAATTCACAGATGCTAGTGAGCCTTTTCTTCCTCTGCTTCCTTTATAGATGGTTCAAAGAAAAACTCTGGCTTTACCATTTTGAACCATTTGGCCTGTAGGAGACAATCTTTCACCATTTGTTAGGCTGGAAACTTCCACAGGTTCCTCAAGTCCAGACGCAGGGTGTGAACACGTTTCCAGTGTCTGAAGCAATCACCTGGCATACCCTCAATTTAGCATTCAAAAGCAGTTTTAAGCACACCACTCCTGTGAGATGTATAATAGAATTAAGTATTGGTATTGTTTACTAACAATCTGATCCATCTGAAATTAATTATTCTCTTCAGTCTTAAAGAAGAGAATAATTGCCACCCTGTGCCACCATGCCTGGAAATCTCAGTAAAAGGAACAGAAATATTTAATGAGTGTTGAGAATGCTCTTTTAGTCCTACCAATGATCCTTCACACCTCGGATTACCTCAGAGAGGGTCTGAATAGAAAAAGAAGGGAAACTTATACTTTAAGAGTTTTCTTTGATAAAGCAGAGGACTTAAAGAAACTATAGAACAACTTTTAAATTTACTACAAAATCTGAAAGGATAAAGGCTGTGCCCAAACCACGAGAGTGAATGATAAGTAAGAAGTTACTGAAATAATTATTTGATAATTGCCAAGCATCTGAAAGTAAGTGGTTTGATAATTTCATTTCAGTTCATAGGGGACAAATATAAAAAATAACCCACTATGGTCAAATTTTTCTTGATCTTACACACACAGCTACTGCTGCTGTGCTATAACCTGCAAGAGTTCTGTGCACAATCCTCTGTCTTATGTGTTTGGAGCCAAATTTGCACAAATTGGCAAATTATGGCCCCAGAAAGACTCCTGGACTTAGTCATCACCATGTTACTCGAGATTCATGACAGTATATCCCTGCTGATGTCAGGGCCATTCTAGCTGTGTGAAACCTGAAGGATATGGTGATAAACCAACTCTCATAAGTGCCATAGTTTCCTAAAAGGTACACAATATGTTTAGGTCAGGCTTGTACATGCAAGGAAATGCAAACTCTTTAAAATGGTTTTTAGGCTGTCTGATACTAGAAAATAATACAAATCTCTAGATGTGGTCCCTCTCTGTCCCAGCCCTTTCTAAATCAGAATTTCACTCTCCTACCTCCACACACTAGTAAGAGAAGCATGGATTGTCAGGAGCCACTGATAGTTTTTTGATAGCTTGGGCTACCCCTGAGGCTGAGCAAACACCGGCTGGAGAGGCAGTTCTCACTATCACCAATCTTACTGTCTTTATTATAGGGTCTGAAAGCAGCTTTCACTTTTCACTATCTTGGGGGGGCTTTTTTTGTTTTGTTTTTTTGTTGTTGTTTGCTTTGGTTTTTGGTTTTTGGTTTTTGGGTTTTTTTTGTTCGGTTGTATTTTTTTTTAATGTGTGTGTTTTGTTTTGTTTTGGTTTGGTTGGTTGGTTTTGGTGTGGGTTTTTTTTGTTTGTTTTATTTTGCAGTGCAGCATCACATAGAAACCCAGGCAGGATTTGGGCCTCGTTATACCATGTCAAAAAACCCCACAAGTCACATTCCCATGAATTGATTTAATTGTGTTAATTTTGTTATATCGGTGCAACCCAAAGAGATGCACCATGCTGGAATAACATACGCTTGTTCTAGTGCAATTTTATACTTATGTAGTTTTCCTTTTCATGAATAAGAATTAAAAGGTGGCTTATCTACAATATAATGACAATCATTTTCATGGAGAGTTTTTTGAGCTCAAGCAGTGACAAAGTGATTACTTAATTGCTCAAGATGCTGATAATTCAGCAACTGGCTTAGGTTTGATGTGCACAACAATGGTTCAAGTATTGACTAAATGGCAAGTCTTCATAGGGATTTACACAGCAGCAGCCTATTCTTAAATAACCTTGTATGTGAATACCTTTTTTCAGGAACAACTGTGATTTTTCCCTGCAGCAAGAATTTTCACACAAAAAGATACTTAAAAAATGCTACCATCCCCTTTCACATCCTCTTTATTATGAATAAACTTTTAACTGAGAAGTCATGAATGCTGGAACATTTATACCATATATTGAAATATATTACTTCCACAAAGCTATCAGCATAATATCATCTTCAATATCATAATCATATTGTGAGCACTTCTCTTGTACAATGCTACAAAAAAAAGTCAATTTTAAGATAATAAGAGACCAAACACTAGCTAGAGAGTGAATACCTGATGTACAAAGATACAATTATATTGCCCATCTCTTCTGTCTCAAAAATGTGTTTACATTAGCTCCGCTGAACTAAAACAGGGTGCAAATAACTATTCTGGAACAACTGTACTTCTAGATGAAATTAAACCTAGAACTAGGGGAATTCAAAATGATGGTTCATTCATTCTTACTCTTTCTTTCCCTGAAACACTTTTTAAAAGACTGCTAATACTGATGCCATTAAAATGTTGTCATTCAAAGTTTCTAGGTCATGTGCCATACAGTGAGAGTCTAAGTCATGTGCCACAGCAAAGAGAGATGAGTTTTCTGAGTTCACATGGGTACCACTGGATGACAAAATATCTGGCTATGGAATACTCAACTTTGTCAGTTTGTATCAAAGTCTTCCCAAATCTCTTCAGCATCTGACTAATGCACACACCTCTTCCATGTGCTTTCCTGCATTGCCATTGAATAATGCCTTCTATCACATTTCATTTGCGAAGATGACATGGGACGGCTTGATGGTTTCAGTGATGTTCTCTTGTGCTTCTATTTGAGGACAGAACAAGGTGTGAGGAAAATATCCTTTCTTTCCTCTTCGGTGTTATTCAAGAATGAGACCCACCCTTGCACAAACCCGTGGGCCCTGGGAGTAACACCATGACCCATCCACCTGAACTTTTGAATGCAGCCTCTGAATCACATTTCAGCTCCCAAAATAAGGATGTGTTGGGAGCTTGGTGGGAAACAGGTCCAATGCTGCTGGGAAAACATGTTGATTTTTGAGTACTGTGGTTTGGTGACGGCCTTGAAGCGGGAGATGTGTTGGAACACAACAACTAGAAAGATTACTTGTCTGCTAGGGATAACATTTGTGGCTGGCAGTTGCGATTCCTCTGACTGATGAGAAATGGTTCTCTCCACGAATGGTTCCTGAGGGATTACAACATATCCCAGCCTTTGTAACCATCACTGGAAGTTCCATTTCTCACAATTCGTATGGAAAAAGTAGGCTGTGACAGAGGAAAGGTTAAGAGAAAACAGTTGTTTCAAAATAATTGCTTTCCAAAAGTGAGGAAATAATATGTTTATTTATACATTAGAAAGAGTGCAATGTGGAAAAGGGCACAAGGAGACAGGTTTCTCCACTGCTTCCTGTTAAGAGATTTCTGTGTAGTGTGAGGTTCAAGCACAGGTGAGACACCTCATATAGTACTGTAATTTTAAAGGGTAGATGTCCAGTTCTGGACTACTTGTGCAAAGTGCTCTTTATAGTCAAAGAAAAGAAATGATCCCTGTAAAATTATGGAGAAAATTGTAGATGCCTGTCTTAGCATCAGATCAATCACTTTCAGCATGAGCTTATTTCTCCCCGCTGGGGGCTGGTCTGGGCACCTAGTTCACGTAGATGTCTAACTAAATGCAAACAAACCCAGGCCAGCTATCTGTGCGTGGCATGGCCCACCCTTAGATGTGCAATGCATACATTTTATTCATAATTTACAGAAGACTCTATGAGAAGCATAAAGAGAGAAGAAAGAAGGAAATCACAATAGAAGAAGAAAGGAAAAGCTAAGGCAAATACAGAAAAAAACCCATAAGGTGAGGAAGATTACAATGCTGGAAGCTGGATGCGAATGCAGAAGGAAATTAGGATGAATTTCCAACCACAAGTAGGAAATCCTACACAGTTTTCCACTTGCTGATGCACAGGGTTGATAGAGAGACACAGAAACTATGAATCTTATAGAAGTGTTAGTGCTTGTACATAAATGTAATGTCCCAATGAATGGGTCTTTAATTGCTTTCCTGAGATGTCAAGCACTTTATCTATGTTTTTCCTCTCTCCATCATATCTCAGTATTTCTAGCTGAAACTTGTTTTGACAACTTTGCCTTCAGAATCAGAAAGTTTCTCCATTGTCCACTTGCTTAATTTACAAAAACATCTGTCTTCACACACTTGGGTAAAGCTATCCTTGGGCATATTTTGTTCTTGAAATCCTATCATTTCCTGACAAAGACAATGCAGCAACAATAGCTTTGGCCACTGACATGCTGACCAGTATCATCTCGTTGTCTGCTTGCACTCTGCTGTCTACCTGTGTCTAATGCTGTCTTTGTTACGTCCTTAGGACATATGCTCTTTGTTCAGTTTGCACAGCATCCTGCAAAATGGCATCCTAGTCTGTGACTGGGCTCCGGTGCTCTAAGATAACAGAGGTGATAAACCCCCGTATCCTGCTTGATGTTGCTATGATGCCTGTGAACCACGTTGTACTTGCAAGTTTTCAAGTGCAAAAGCACCGCGCTGCACACGGGTGCCAGGTAACATCGCTGTCTCCTGGTCCTGTATTGGTACCCACGGCGTTCTCCACTGGCCTCAGGCCAACGGGATGCTTCAAGACCAAGACTGCTAAGCAGAACTTCGTGTTCAGTTTATTCCCGTTTCTTTCTTACTGTAAAGCACGGCCTGGAGCAATTTCTGTGGCAAGGAGCACAAGGCGCTAGTGCGATCAACCTTGCGCGACAACAGACCAGCGGCTTCCAGGGTAGAGCCGCGCAGGCCGGCTGCAGTCCCTCACACTCCCGCTCTGCCCGTTCAGCCCAGCACCGCCTCCCGTCCCCCCGTCGGGGCCGCCCCCCGGCGCCGGCACCGCCCCCGCTCCGCCCGTCGCCCCCAGCAGCCCCCGCGTTGCCCGGGCCCCGCCGCCGCCGCTCGCAGCGCCCGAGCCGCCGGCGGAGCGAAGGTGCCGCCGAGCGCGGCCCGCGGGGCGCCGCGGCCTGCGGGCGCCGCTGGTTGGCGGCGGGCGGACACGTGAGCGGGGAGGCGGCGGCGGCAGCGGCAGCGGGAGTTTCCCCGACAGCTGGAGGTTGCGGCGGCGGCTCCTCCTCCCCGGGTCCCCGCTAGAGCCCGGAGACCCCCCGCGCTCCTTCTTATTGACAAGCGCACAAAGGGCCGCGCCGGGGCCGGGTCGGGAACGCGTCTGGAGCCGGCATGGGAGACAAGAAGAGCCCGACCAGGTAGGGGCAGCGGCGGCGCCTTCTGGTTCCCCCGGGCCCTCCGGGAGCGCGGGGCCGGCGGCGATGGCGGCGGGGTTGCCCCGGGGGCGGCGGGGGCGGCGCGGCCGGCGTTGCCCCTGGCGCGCGTGTGTCTCCGCAGGCCGAAGCGGCAGCCGAAACCCTCCTCGGACGAGGGGTATTGGGACTGCAGCGTCTGCACCTTCCGCAACAGCGCCGAGGCCTTCAAGTGCTTGATGTGCGACGTGAGGAAAGGCACCTCCACACGGTGGGTCGCCGGCGGAGGGGGGAGCGAGGGCGGCGGGGGAGCGGCTGTGCGGCCGTGACAGGAATGGGGGCCGGGGAAGCCGCGGAACATCCGCGGGGTGTGAGGGAGGGCGGCCGTAATAGGAATCAGGTCACGTTTACCGGGGGGTGTGCGGGGGGGCGGACGGGGAGCACCCAGCCCCCCGGGGCTCCTCGGTAAACCTGACCCAGCGGTGTGCCGGCGTGCGTGGAAACAGAAATTATAAATACCAGGAAGGGCATAATTGCCTGCGTACCCTAACCCTGGAGAGGCTGTGCCCCTTGCATGAAGAAGAACCATTACCTGGGGTGTGCCTGCGAAGACACCCTTTAATATTTTTTTTTCTTTTAAATTCATGTTTTCTGTGAGTTTAACTTTGCCACATACATAACCCCTTTGTATAATTATTATTATTAGTAGTAGTATTAATTTTAATTCACTTTTCATCACAGAGTATCACCGTCCAGGTTTCCGGGGGCTGTAGGGGGTGGATTATAACCCTTCAGTGTTTAGAAAGGAATTGTTAGTTGAATTGTGCCGTATGGAATTGCATCCTCGTGAAACCGTGACTTCCCAGGAGGACCTTTTCTCTGTACACCAGTCAGAAAGCTTGCAGTGGATTACCTTGCAGTGGTTCCTGTGCCTGCCGGTGTTTTTCAGTATTGTGGCTAAGCGTGTGTGTTTGGGGAATGGAGGCTTTTTATAAATGAACAGGAGCGTACTTGTAGCCATGCATGCTAACAGAAGAGAGTGTTGCTCAAGAATCCTTTCTTACAGTTATCATACCTAGAGGTTAATCCTGTCGGCAGGAGAAGTTTAAATGGCAATCAAAGTTGCAATTCTATCAAAAGCCACAATTACATTGTAGATATTGGTTAAAGCAGTGATGAATATGACTTGCAACAAATGTTACATTTGAAATTGTGACTGCAAGGTTGGATCCAATTCCATGAGAAAAAAATGACTCCTTTTCTGGAGTGGGTTTCTTAGACTTTTGAAAACCAGAATGAGTGTTGAAAGGACTTCTTATAACTTGAGATTTCAATACTGGTTGATTTTTTTTTTTTTTTAAACAAAGGAAATCAGTGAGGTAAATGCACTGAGGGGGAATTGCATCTGTCACAAATAGTGTAGTTTGCAGTTATAACAATGGCATTGTGTTTATATCACAGAGAAATGTGTACAGATTGTAATTTTCAGCAAAATAAGACTACTGAATTAATGCAAAGCCTTTAAAAAAGGCTCTTTAACATCCAGTCAATTTGATAGGCAAAGTCAGTGTAAAATTATGTTTTGTTGCATTGGAAACTCAGCTGGATAAAAGCACTGAAACTTAAAAACCAACAAAACAAAAAAACCCCATGCCAAATCAAAGAGTGTGGAGTTCCCGAGAAACAAATATTTTCATTGCATTCTAGTTTCCACCCTTGAATATTTCATATTTTATATAATTTAACAAGAAAACATTTGGTTGGTTTGTTTGTTTTTTTAAATTTCCAATTTCTCCTTGACAGTGGCCTGCTACGGAAGAACTGTAGTTGATATGTAGATTTTTGTTTCTCTACTTAAACACTGTAACAAAGTGTACCTGAGTAGGTTTATGGATTTCTTTTTCCCATAAGGTTTAAATGAATTGCATTTTCGTGTGTTTTCAAAGTCCAGGTTTTACACATGGCATGAGATAAATACAGGTTGAGGTTTTAGGCCAAGCAGTTTTTGTCTCCAATTCTGATATTTGATTTGAGCTAGTAAGTAGACCCTTGTGTCCATGGAGAGGATCATTAGGGTGCCAAAGAGACACAAAAGGCCATTTTGGGTGGTTTTATTATTTGGGGTTTTTTTAAGCATCTCTAATCCAAGTGACAAAATTAGTGCCTTGTTAAAGCATTTGTTGGTATTGCCTGTAGGACAAAATGGTTTTCATCAGCATTGGACAGAATAACAATACTACCATGTTTTGATGACAGGGAGAATGCATTATTTATTTATTTATTTCAGTCTTCCATTTTGAAGCTTGATGTTAGATTAAATTGATGCCTCAGCAGGGTTCTTTGTGTGCAGTGTTCTTACTTAAAATTTTTGACTGTTTTTTTAGTGAGGAGAGCTTTGTCTAGAAGGCAATGTAAAACACTGCTTTTTTTTTTAATTCAGAGAAATGTCGTCTTTGTGGTGGAATGTTTTAATATCTGCTTCTGCATGTTAAAATTCACTAAATATGACCAGATTTTCAGGTGGAAAAACAGGCAATCATATTCAAGTTTAGTGGGTTTGAAGGCCACTGGAAATCAGGTGCAAAGTTCATTAAAACTTTTTTTTTTAATACTGATTATGTACATTTAACTTTACAGAAATATTCTCAGGTGGGGGTAGGGTTTATGGATGTTTTCACTGTTGAATAATTTCTTCTTTCCAAAAGAGTTATCTTTTGTGCCAGGGGCTAGACATGGATTATGTTCTTTAACAACTGGTGGAATTGTTAAGATTAGTGCAAATAATTCTTACGACTTCTTGATTATATCTTATTTCTAGACTGAATTTGGAAAGCAGATTAGATCATGGAGTTCAATTAACTTTGTCTATGGCAGTATTACTTTGACTGATTAAGCTGGGCTGTGCTTGGAGGGGGGGTGTCCAAGAGAAATCCTGAATGCTGCAGAAAGTGGTGTAACTGATTCCCAAGGTGGCACTCTTTTCCTTGGGTTAGTACTAAAGGAGTGCCCCAACATGATACCAGTTAGATGTGCCATGAGTCAGATATAGAACTAAGCTCCCATCTGCCAGATGAAAATCCCTGTACCTTTTACTCTAGAACCACTGCCAGATGTTAATTTGGTAATGTCACTGAGGATCTAAACTCCCCCTGTAGGCATGGCTTTCGTATTTACTTTCTAACCTAAATTGTTCTGTTTTGTTGCTTGGGTACTGAAATTGCTATGTTCCTCTTGATAGGAGGCTGCACTGAATATAGTAATTTTCTACGTGTGACCTTTAAAACATTTTGAAATCATCTGGATGAAAGACATTGTATAAACATAAGGAACATAGGACTGTAATAATCATTTCTTACTTGGATAAATCTCCTGCTGAAGTTCATTAGAAGCATGAGTAAGGAATACTGAAGAGAACCCTAGCGTACTATGTTATAGAGGGAACTGGTAGCAAACTCTATATTTAGGTTGCCTAATAGTTTCCATAACAAAGAAATTGTATGACCTCTTTGAGAAGTTTTATTGTTTGCAGAAACCATCGAAGTTTGGCAAGAGGCAAAGTCCTTAGGCTAAATAAGTGGTTTGATTTCCTTGCCCCATGAAATTGTTTGAGTTTTACTGAGACTAAATCACTTGAAAAATCATCATTCCCCATCTGTCACCCATGTTGTACAGAGAAGTCATTGGTAGAACACTGAAAAAGCCCAGACTGGAGTCATGTAAAAGCAACAGTGGCAATGATGCTGTGCTGAAAACACATAAGGGAATTATTTTGTTCCTGGGGAGGTTGTAATGGGGTTGCTGAATTTGGTCTGACTCACAACTACCACTTTGTCAAAAGAAAGTTGCCTCCATTAGCAAGCTACCATTTCTTTTCTTTCTTTCCTTCTGCTCTTCATGGCACTATCTGAATCAGGAGTATATTAATACTGATTGACCTTCAAGAATTGGGCTGGATCCTCGGACAGACCTTATTGCAGCAACTATTTGCCCCTGGTTTGTCTGTCCTTCAGTAGATGTTTGGATTTTGCTATTCTTGCCAGCTAACACCATTTGTCACTGTAATTTAGATGTGTTGTAAAGCTGAAGATTAAGAGTTTCAGCGTTGCTGGGAAGAAGTACACAAGAGGACTGGCATTCCCTCTACAGGAATGTACGCTTCCTAGTCTCCTCTGCCTTCTGGGAGACTGCATTACTGCCCCGTTGTCACCTCTCTGCTCAAACTTCCTTAGAAGCATTATTAACACTCTTGTTATTCAGTCAGCTATAGCATCGAGATTTAAAATTACCTGTCACTTTGTTTTCCTTCATGTGGTTTTTATGTATGTGGTCTGATCTCTAGTTGCAGGACCCTATTCTTTTTTCAGTGCTATGATAAACCACTTCTCCTTTCAAAGTGAATGATGAGCATCCAGGGAAGTGTAGTGAGAACTGCAGGAGGAACTGCAAACACTGGCTTTTTAAAATTTGAAGTGCTTGGAATGATACTCTGCTATGTAAATAAAGGAAAAAAGAGGGGTAGGGACATATGATCAATTTCCCTTTTTCAGAGTTGATAGCATTCTGTGATTTTTAAATAAGGTAAAAAGGATATTTTCACTAAAAGTATTGTCTTAGCTGGTTAACAGGGGAAGATTTGTTGTACAAAGTGTATTTTATGCTTGTTATGGTTTTATTTTTTAGAGCCTCTTTCATTACTTTCTCTGAATTCAGTAAAAACTTAATCTTGCCTATAAATTTGGGTCTTAGTGCACACTATTCAAATCCATAATAATTTTCTTTTGGCGGGGGAAAGGAGGCAGAATAAAGAAATGAGACAGGTACAAGTGACTTGTGTGAAATTTTGTGGGGGTTTTTTTGGTTTGCTTGCATGTAGTGTGTTTTTTTTTTTTTTTTTAGGGATTCCTATTTGATACACATGCTGAGTGATCTGCTATATGCAATATCATTTATAAAATAGCCCCTGAAATTTGTAGCCAGAATGAGAAAGTTATCTTAAGTCAGGATGAGTTTTTGTGGATTTGGGGTCTGTGCCTCTTAACATCCGGTACTGCCAAAGTAGAGACATAGAGCTGAATGGGGGCATGGCTTCCTTGTCCTGTGATCCATTGATCTTCATTACTGAATTGCTCCTTTTCTCCCAGCTGAAGAAAGCCAAATTTAAATCATACCAGTCTGAGGTATAAGGAACTGGGATGCAGTCTTTGTATGTTTCCTTGGTATTTGGTCTGTGCTCCTTGACTGTGCCTGAGAGGCTGGCGAGCTAATATGTCC